CAAATATAATGAATGTGATCCCATTCTCTACTATGAAATCACAAGGTACTTGGATTAGAAAAAAATAAGAAAAACAACCCAGTGAGAACTATTTCAGCAGTTGAAAGAATACTTCATAAAACCAGTAATTCCCCTTCCAAAGAGACTCCATGATTGGGCTAAAACCATTCAGTCTGTCCTTGCACAGACTTGTAGATGACTACTAGATGTCATTATCTGCTCTCTCAAATAACTATTTCTAGTAAAGCCAAAAGCCTCACTCACATGCTTAGAATCTGCCTGGAAAGTCTCAGTATAATACTTTGCATGAGATAATTTGCAAGTCTGTTACAGGATGATGCCCTACAGCACACTTTCTCACAGAACAGTCTTCCAGGTCTCAGTCCCTCACTTCCCTCAGTTCTTTGCATAGCTCATACAATACATTATCACATAATCACAGAACATCCTGAGTTGGAAGTAACCCACTAGGGTCATCAAACAACTAACTCACAGCTTATAAAGAGAATCTATATCTTTAACTCCATTAGGAAATGAAGAAGGATGTATCAAGAAAAATTACTTTCACTCTACTTTGTCCATTTTTCTCCTTTATTTACTGCACACAGTTAAATGCAAACTCCAAGATACATAAGACACAGAAAATATTCTTTGAGGGTTCTTTGTAATCACCACGGTCTTGCAACAGTCTGTGGTGCCTGAGCAAGAACTCAGTCCAAAAATATAATGTACAGAAAAACATTGAAAGGTTGTGATTTCATGCCTACTGTTACCTTCAGGTTTAAGTAGCTCCCTTGACTCTTACACTCATAGCAATTAGAATTTCCAGACAGCTCGGTGGCAGAGATTCTAGGTGTTCTCTATAGTGCAGCACTAACTGGCAGATGGCAGTCAATTCTTACCATGAATGAATTAAACTCACTCATATAACACATGGCTGTAAACCTAAAGACTTTTTAAAAGCTTTCAAAGTTTTCATTCTGCCTTTTATAGTTGAAAAGCAACAACAGCCAGCTATGTGACGTAAGTCTCAATTTATATCACAGACTAAGACTTAGACTAGGATATGCAGGTCCCCATGCTGTTGCTTCTGGATCTCATTAATACATTTCTACACTTTTCCACTCACGCTAGTCTTTTCAGTAATAAGGTTATTTAAATGTAGGAGAACACTATCTACTGAAGAAAAAATATGTGCTCGATCAGAAGACTGGAGCATCAGACAAATAGAAATAACTTGCCACATGTTTGTGATTTATTAGTCTAGTTGCCTGAAGTCCAAATTTTATCAGGATTGTATCCTACATCAGAGAGATGATATACTTTTCCATTACCAGGAGGTTACTTAATATATCCAGATGGCAAAGGTTAAACTATATTTATGTCAACTTTGACAGGCTCTCTTTTTCTAATGACCTGAAGTTTGATGAGCACGACAAGTAATTAGCACTGTAGAGAGTCAGAAATTTAGGCCTTCAGGGATCTCTCGTGTTGTTTTTGTAAGCACATACTAATTTTTAAGTTACACTGTGACATTATTATACATTGCTGCATTAGATATCCCTCTTTCCTGCGCACTATTAAAAATTTGTTAATATAAATTCTGCTATTGAAATTAACTATCTATTCCAACTCCCTGCCTGTCTGTGCTACCGTCAGCTGGGCAAACAGGCAGCTGAATGCTTTTTAAACACACAATTGACTGGGCTTTGCAGATGTATAGGGACTTTATTTTTGATTGTCATTGCTTGCAACCTCTAAGCTGCTTTTCTTAACTTCAACACCTGTCCATAAGGAACACTTCTGATTTGCAAGCAATACTCAAATACACTTTATAATAAATATTATAGGATAAAATCAGACAAGGAGGGGGGAAAAGTGTGAAAGTACAATGTAGTAAGCACAATGTGAAATTCCCAGAGTCAAACTCTGAGAATTTACCAGACACTTTATTAAACTGCAAGGCAGTACTTTACAGTGCTGCTTTTAAAATATATTAACACTATATCACAGTTCCTGGCAGCATTAAGTCTTTCCAGAAAATGTGTCATCACTGTATGCAGCATATTTTATAGCCAGTATAATTTCATTTTACTATATCCAATAATATTTTTCTGAAATTCTAGGAAGTCTCCCCACAAAAGATAAGTAATGACCATATTTTAATCAGCTAGCACAAAGTGTAACCACCATATAACAGGAAAATTATTACACCAAAATGCCCTCAGTTTCATTTTGCCTCTGTGGAAGAGATAGTGAATACAACCTGTGAGAATCTCACTCAAGTATTACGTAGCACAAAACCTTTCAACTTTGAAGTTATTTAATTCCAAGACTGATCTTTACAGTTGAGCCATTCTTGACAGAAGAAGCTGTATAAGCTCAGAATCCTCCTACGCATTACACTATTGTAGCAAGAAAAGCTAGAAATTATGCCAACAAAGGCTGAAATATAGCCCAATTGTTTCATATGTCCACAAGAATTCTGAAAAGATGAGCTGTACACCTCTAAGTGAAATAACAATTTTCCTTTTCTTACCAGACCTGGATTTCTGCTTTGTGGTCTGCCCATGATTGGCAAACATTGCTGTGGAGCCCTTTATAACAGTCCTTTCCTCTAAATCAGACTCTGGGATTGTAGCACAGCCACCTAGTTGAAAATGGAAGACACTTAATGTGGTGTTTATGCAACAAAACAAATTCACTGGTGCAAAACAGAGGAAAAGAGGCAATAAATTATCTAAAAGGAACATATAAAACTAAAATAGTCTTTACTTTCACTTCAAGGAAGCATTTGCTAAAGAAAAGTATCACTATTGTTTAGAAGGCTGATTATGCTTTAATGAACTCTACTACTTATGTCATCTTGAAAAAGAAGTTTGAAATAATTTAGACCACAGAATATGCAAAACTATTTCCACATAAAACATGGAAAATAATATGATTTGTGTTAAAGATCAGATTACTGGGAGCTATTCTATTAATAGAGTAATTAAGTGTGAATGAAATAACTTTACAAAATCAACAAACCTTATGAAGATTGTTAGCTTGTGACAGAGAAAGACATGCTGATTTTTTTTTTTTTATGGGCTATAAAATACAGTATTTTTATTAAAGATATGGAAACACAGGGACACTTTCAGTGTCCAAGACAGTGTCCTTACTCAAGTGATTATAGGATATATGATATAACATTTTCTTTGTATGCTTCAACATTACTTTATGAGCCATTCATTAGACAACACAATTACTTACAGCTCTTTCTTCAAATATGTTTAAATGCCTATGTTTAAAATATGAAGAGAGGTATAATACAGTAGTAGTACTAGTAGTAGCTGTAGTGGCTTGCAGTGGAATAGCTTGATGTAAGTTTATTTCAGAACAGCTGTGATCAGGAGACTGGAGGATGTGTCACTATTCCACAGCAAAAAGATGGCCTCACAGTAAGTGCATTGCCAGCAATACAGTACACAGCTGAGCTGCATCTTTTTCTCACAGGCCTCCCAGGAACACCACTAGCAAGCAAACATATCCATGTACTGATTTATTGTGCTCTGAAAGCACATGTTTATAAGCAGCACATCAACTCCCAATGGTGCACACAGACTTTTTACCTTCTTGTAAGAGTTGTTCTATTTTGAAAAGACAGCTTCTACTCCAGGCCCCGTAAAAAGTGCATCAAATTTGCAGCAACACAGGCTATCATCCCTTTATTAAACTAAATGAATAAAACAATTAAAAATAAGGTTGCATTGCCAAGTAGGAAAGTTGCATTTTCCCTGGTAGTTTTAGAAGCATTGGCAAACCAGTGGGCTATGTTGTACAGAAATGTACCACCCTGAGTAGCCAGGGCAAAGCATGGCAGCTCCAACAAGTCCTGTGAAAATACTCAATCCTATCAGATGAAGAACTAATACAGCATCTTTTGCTCCTAAGGAAGAGTGAAGAAACAAGCTGCTTTATCCAAATACACCCTGAGACAAAATACATCACAGGATTTATGTTTGATTTACAGCAAGCAAATTTTGTCAGTAAGAAAGAAAGGTTAGGAGTAAATGTGTCAGGGTGCAGACTTGTGATCCATGACAGCTTCAAATACTTAGGAGACCTGCTATGAAAGTGGAAAAGATAATTGGAAATTAGAAAAACCTCTTCATGTTAAAATCCCATAACTGTGGGGTCATTGTCCGACATTGCATTAAATATAAATGTATCAACAGCCTAAATGCAAATAAATACCTGTAAACCAATACTTCTGTTGCCATTTGAAAATTGTGACTAAAATGTAAACTACAAGACTTGAGGAAATGGAAATCACTGCTTTAAAAGTCAATTCAGAGTATTTGAATTCTTATTGTTCAGATAAAATCTACACTCTTAAACACTAGCCTGTAAATACAGGATACAAAATTAAGATTTCTTGAACTATTAAGAATGGCATCATGCATTTTAATATTATAACATTTTGTAACAGCATGAGCAAAAACTCACCAAGTCAATTAGTACCTATTGAATTTCTACATGGAAATAGAGAACTTTTCTAACATTCATTCTAACACCCAAAATTCATTAACTTACACAATCTTGAGGATTGATGGTCTTTGGTGACAAAATATTTCATTTGATTTCAATGCTGACAGTAACTGAATAAGAGTTGGAAAAGGTCTATTTGCTCTTAGCTACAACACACTACTTGTTAAAAGGAAGCAGGATGTTGTGATTTTGATTTTAATGTGAGAGATTCATTGAAATTTATTTGCCATGATACCATGAGAAATTATTGCCATTAAAAGCAAAATTAATGTTTTCCACAAATTTATTTTACTGAGTGTGGAGGCCAGTGGACCTACAGAACAAGGATCCATTATGGGCCCCTAGAGGGACAGACCCTAAGTTGGGAAAATCTCCCCTGTTCAGGGAGACTGAACAGAGCCTCTCCCAAGATGCCTTGCTATGTATACAAATGTACTCCAGTTCTACCTCCCCGGCTGGCCCATTGACCTCTCCACCCCTTTTCCTTTTATATGTATGCTCCCTAGAATGTTCTCCCTTCCTTGCTTATCCATGGCCCCCATTTTGCCACAGCATCCCACCCCTTTTACCCAATAGGGAAAAGGGGGTGGGATGCTGTGGCAAAATGTGGCTGCCACCCTTTGCCCTGCCTTTGTACCACCCCTGAGCCCTCAGCCCCTTGGCCCTGATGCTCTTCTCCACCCTCCCATGCACATCTTTAAACCTGGATCCTCCACTGTTTCTTGTCTTTTCCCGTGTGTGGCTGGAACAAATCTCCTCCTCACAACTCCATACAAAGACCCTTCCCACTTCTTTGTTGCCAGCAATCCCACACGAGCTATCTAGAGTGTGTGCTTGAGTGACTGGGGGTGTGTGCCTGTCCCACCGAGTGACCTCCTTACTGGAGACACTTCTGGAAGGTCACAGCACTGCTGCCTCTCGCTCCACCACCCACCAGCTAGTGGTCTGCGACAGCCAAGAATACGGACGACTGAAATATTACAGGTGACATACTATTTTACATAAATAGAAAATTTAGACAGACCACACAGTAGTACTATTAGCATCAATATTATGAGTAGTAACTACATGTTACTTCTGCAAGGATGGTAATAACTGTTTATTATGAAATATTTTTTAAATACTATTGTTTCATAAAGGCATTCCCTGCGCTAAAAGCACTGTTCTCACTGGAGCAGGATTTCACTAGAATTTTTGTGACAATAACTATTTAAATAAGTGACCAGACAAGAAAGTAGTATAGTAGTTAAATTTTTACCCTTTTTGAGACAATGAGGTTTACAGGATCATTTCTACCTTGCTCTTCTAATATCAGTACTACCTTCTAAATGAAGGAGCTACTCAAATTTGCTGAACATGTCCCTTAACTTGTTCAGATGCATAGGGCTGGGTAGCATGACTGGACCCTCATCTACACATAGCCTGCCCCAACACAAGTGGTACCCACTTCTTCCAATGAAACTAACAGGAAATTCCATTTTCTTGCACCAATCGGCACAGATACACGTCCTCAAGATAGCAATGGATACCCTTGACAACATGCTATGATTTCCCACAGGAAGGAAGATGTGGAGACTACACTAAGACTATTGTCATACTGAAAGAACGGAAACATTCAAAGCAAATTTCATACTTTCACTGGACTGAAAAAGAAGCTGGATAAGGCACAAATACACACTACTGAATATAATATTTAAACCATGATGGACCAGGATTTTGTAATTCAAAAACACTTTACAACTCACAAAGACAGCTATATGGAAAAATAAATAAATAAAAAAAGCAAACAAAAACATTTTCTGCTAGGACTGCAAGGTTTTCATTTTATACTTCAAAAGTTCTACTCATGGTCTATATTCTGACTTCTCTGGTCAGAACTTAAAGTTAAAATAACTCCTTGAATTTTTTTATATCTCTAAATATATTTCAATAAGTATTTACTGGATGTCTTTAGCAAGCATTTTCAGTTTTTATGTACATTGAATTCTAAAAGAAATCACAGCAACAAAATAATTTACATTCATTCACAATTAACTGAATGGTACAGATCTGAAAAGTGAAATATTTAAGGAAAAAAGGGGGAAAGGGGACGAATAGTAGTACATTAATCGAGACACTGGAAATTATCCAAGCTGAGAAGTCCTCCAGATGTCAGTCTGTAAACAGAGCTTCATTAAATACATTTCCCCATTAATTGTTGGCAGGAATAACATCTAGAATATGTTATTACATCTAACCCAGTCTTTCCCCCTTTTCTGTGTAGCTAAATTCTTGTCTGGCATCACAGATCTTTTATCAATTGTAATAAATCCAAGAAAGCAAGCTTTTGTCAACAAAACTGCTTGATAGGGTACAACATGCATAAAATTACACTCAAGCTAATTGTGAATTTTGTTCACCAAAGGAAATGAGACTTCTCTTGCTTATTTTCACTTCATCTGTTTTGTAACACTTTTGGTTCTTAAGTTGGAAAAAGATATCCACACCCAAAGGAAACATAAACATATAACACATATTGAACAAAATTAAGTACTGACAGTTTTCCTACAGGTTCCTGTCACCATGTTTTTATGCATTTTAATATGGTTTTAAAAGTTGAAAAACAGGAAAACAAAAGTGACATACATCAGAAAAAAATGTAAAGGCACTTTGAGGTACAGAGTATTTGAGTTTCCTTTTTCTCTTCCACTCAATCACAACCTAAACTATGCATAAAGTTTCCATTTTCCTCTGAAATTAACTCTTACAAGAGTCCACAGAAAGAAGAAAAAACAGCTTCCTGAGCAGTCTTTGGTAGCAAGATAGTCAAAATGTGAGCAGGAAGTTCTGTAAACAGCAGGTTTTGCATCCACATGTATACCATTATAAAATGGAGATAATCTAAAGAGCAAAATTATTTCATAGAGATTTCAAAAAGCTATACCCAAAACCATGTCCACTTGACTTTTCTGTCCTGTCAAAAATTTTAGGAACATGTACACCAAAAATGCAGTCCAATGCTTTAGAGGTTCTCTAAAACAATTTATCGATTACTTGTACTGATTCTGACAGCTACATTTATTCAAGTCCTCTAAATTTTATTAGGATCTGCCCATCAGAAAGTAGCCTGCCTGTTGAAATAACTGCATGGAGGTTGCGAAGATAAGTAATGCTATTGCTGCTTTTTAAATGGAAGATAAAACAACACAATCTATAGAAGAAAACAACACATATTTGAGTATATTATGAGATACACGGAACATTTATTCACATACCAGCCCTGGATTAGAGGCTATCATTTGAACTGACACATTCCAGGAACACAAACACATTTCTGTTAGAAAGTTTGAGGAGAAAGAGGGAGAAGAATTATGAGAAAGGGAAAAAGTAAGAGAGATAACTAGAGAGGGAGAAAGAGGGGGTGGGGGAACTAAGAAAGGAAGGCAAGGGGAAGGGAAGGCAGAGAAAAAGGTGCATTTATTTGTTTGTTCCTCCTAAATGGGTGTCTGGTAACAAACACTGTCACAATTCACAATAGCAAACAGTCCAAGTTTAGGTCAGATATTCACTTGCAGAATACAGAGTCATAAATAATCAGTTATAGATTTCAGAACAAATCACTTAAGTCTAACAGTGGCTACAATCCTGCAGTCACACAGTTTCATTGTTTTCTGTCTGCTTTGACACAACCAAATTCAACAAAATGATGGAAAATATTTCTGTATTGCATTCCAGTGGAATAATAAACTGGGGGAAAAAATTATACCAACAAAATATGTAGTCCAAGGTCATAGAAAATCATCAAAACATATTTTCAATGGAAGCACACAGAGACATACTTGACTGTTATTCTGATTTACTCATGTTTTACTGAAATTCTTCTTAACAAAACTTCCAGTTCTCAAATTCTTTGCCTTTTCCCAATAATGAGTTGTCACTATTTGCAGAGAGAGCTATGCAAAGATAACTCCTACCAATTGCATGGCTTCTGTTTGAGCTTGTAGCCCATTCAAATATTTTGAATATGCCTGAGTGCATAAAACCTTGACTTACAAAGTTCGGGTACTTTGGCAGCAGAAGCTCTCTATGGGAGCAACTGTGGTGTTTAAACTGTCAAACAGTCTTGGCCATTCTTCTAGGATGAGGTTCAGTGCATGTGGTATGCAAGTCATACAAATGGCATTGGGAAACACACTGCTAAAAGCAGATCCAACAGCTGTTCTCATTAAAGACACATTATTGGACATTTGGCCAAGAACACAAGATCAACATTCAGTAGTACCCTTACTAACTCAGGACTGAGAATGCAGGAATAGCAAACTGTATAAGTGCCACCCAGTATCTACCAAAGGCACTTTTTACACACTGTGAACGAAGGACGAATGATGAGAGTTGCACTTCCGCCACAAAAATGCACTGTTCCATCCAACCACCTATTCACCTGATGAGCATAGACTGGCTGAAAAACATGTTCTGTGTTCTGATATGTGTTGGGAGAGGCAGCTTACTGAATTTTGTAGTGCTTGGGGTATTTCCATCTGCTTTTACATAACAGAAAAGAAAAATCAGTTTACAATAGAATTTTTCAAGGGGAATATCAATGCTTGACAAATAACCATAAAAAAAAAATCACTATTTTTTCAAAGTACACTACTTCACAAAACACCTGATGGCTTTTGCTGACTAGGTCTCACATCCTCTTCCCCATATTCAGTGTATCACTAAGTATAGCTTTTGTTTATCATAACTAGACATGGTTTTCTTTCAAAATGCTTAAAATACAGCAGTAGCAGAAGTTACAGAATATACTGTTGTCAATCTATTCTCAGGTCAACAGTCTCCATTCAGTAACAAACCACTTTCATGCTACCCTTTTGGTGAGCAAGAAGAATATGCAAGATAAGCTCATTTTGCTTGCATAAATATACATATATGTGTATTTGGATATATGCATATAGGAAACACATAAAGAAATTTATACTCTTTTTTAGTAAGACTTTTAATTTGTTGAGCCTGCATTGCATTGTTTTGGTAATACACAGTTGTAAGGAGGCTACTAGACCTTTAGACTTTTATACTAATTTACATCACAAGCTTAAATGGGTAATGCTCCCTTTGATAAACACTTTCCTGATTATTTTTCTAAGAGCATATTAAAATTCATTTCCAATGTCAGTTCTGGCTTCTATCTGCCAATACAATAGAGAGCACCTCAAAGACAGTGTTTGGAGCAGCTGAGATCTCTGGAACATGCCTGTCAAAAAACTTCCACAATATTGTCTTTACGTACTCTCTAACCTTTCTCCAGCATACAGTGAAAGTAAACAGACTAAAACTGACTTTTACAGTCTTGATTAAAAAATCCTCCTCGTATCCATCATTCTGAAAAATGTAAAGAAATATTTTGCTCCTATTCCCATTTAAAACAGTTTTATTTCCTGGAACACATATATGAAACTTTCTTCCAGTTGAAGACTCAGTTATGAAGACACATATACAGACACCATATACTTGTATTTATGTGCACACCCACAAATGTTGGACTTACTAGTAAAGGAAAAGCAAGTCCTAATTCCCTGCACTCATAAGTTAAAGAGACTGTAAATATTTGTGACCTGGTTTGCAGTGCTGAAACCCATGAGTTACAAATGTGTTCCGTCACACAACCATAGTGCAAAGACTGTGAAAGTGAACAGTCTTTGACTGATTTAGGGGGGAAAAGATAAATAGTTATCTTCAGGGAGTTTATAGTATACTGGCCTAAGGAAAACACTTAACAACAAGGGGAAGCTTAAAAATGCAGTTTAGTGAAAATGGGATTTTTATCCTAGCTGTGAACAAGAAAAAAAGACAATGCAATTTGCTGCATGAGGCCTTGTTATGCTGGGGATTTTGGATGTTTGAGACAGCCTAGATAGAACAGTAGTAAGACAGAAACAGTTGATGAGAGACCTATGCCTAATCCAGATGAGAAACTGAGTGAAATCAAAGAAAAAGCATTTGGGATATATGCTAATGCATGATTCTGGGCTAGAGAATACAGGAACAAAACATACTGACATTAAATGTTATATCAGATATGCTGTGGATAACAGAAGATGGTGGAGCAGTAAATGGGATTAAAATTTAGGTAGTGAAGTGTGGGAAGATAAGTGGTAAGGATAGTGAAGAAGGAAGTTTCTTCAATGAATTACATCTGTACTGATTACTGAGAAGTGGAGACAGCCTTGCCTGTCCAATGAGGATGGTGTTTTTATAAAAGAGTGCGTCAGCTAGTTGAGAGTAGGCTACAGTTTGGGATGGATGCTGGTTGTGCTGTGAGGAGGTAAGGGACAGACAAGGTAAGATGTGTGAGAGACAGACAAGGTTAGGCGGCTGGGTAAGGGACAGCTCAGGGTTTAGCCAGTCATGCAGAAGGAAACTTGCAGAGAGGAGAGAAGGAGTCAGTGCTATGCGGAGCTGCCTGTGAGGAAAGGAGTCAGTGCTGTGTGGAGTTGCCTGAGAGAAGTATAAGGAGAGAAAGCATGACAAGTTTTTAATAAAAGACTGGTGTTGGTGCCAGTCAGGCCCATATTGACATGACTACAATGAAGAATGCATGTTGCTCAGAAAAACAAAATTAAATTGGTAGAGTAATACTTCTTAGCATTATTGTGATGGGCTACTGAAAGAAGTTTACAGAATTGGTCACTTTGGAAAACAACTGTAAGTAGTTTAGTACACAAAATGTCAAATTTTAGCAACAAAAGACAAATACCTTATTTTAATAGAGATTGCAGTTGCTTTAATATTATGAGAGTGAGAAATGATATTATGGAAATGAAAGAAGATACAAAATCCACAGAAATAACTGTGGACTGACAAAAGGAAAAGGTCCCAGTGTGATGCCTAATAAAATTTTGAAATCCACCTAAAACTTTTCATGTAGGGAACAAGAAAGGAGTAACACTATTGTACAAGACATTGGTATGACATCTGGAACATGAGTTCAATTCCTGTTACCATGGTCATGACAGGTTAAATAACTGTCAGCTGAAGTTTACTAAGATCATACAGGAATCACATACCTTATTGACACTTGAACAGCTTTGAACAGATGACCAGTCTTGCTGAGCTAAGACCACTAAAAATAGAACAGACTGATCTTTATCAGTAATGCAATTAGCCCAGAACCCTTAGTGTCTTGCAAAACAGAAGACACTCTTAGAACAAGAAGGAATTCTTCACAAATTAATTTTTACTAGAAATTCTGACTACCAAGAGACCAAGGGCTTTGAATCATTCCTGAACAGAAACCATGGAGATAAATAATTCTATTTATTAATAAGAGTAAACTACCTTATTCTAACACAGACATGGAGTTTCTGAACAAGACGTTTCTTTTTTTTCTTCCCTTCCAATACCTCCACATAGAAGACACAGGAATAGAGGTCAAAACAGATACAGATTTATCTACTAGCATTCTGAAATTATCCAATTCTCTTATCCAATTATTAATAGTTATCCAATTCCTAGAACATAAATAAATTACTATTCTCTATTTATCTACTCATTCATCTATCTAGTGATGAAATAAACATGGATAAAACCATCCTCTTTTAATGTTATTGAAATAAACTGATATCTAGTAGATTTGTAAGACAAACCACATATAGATCCTTTGGATACTAAAAGTTAAGGAAATCAAAGCATTCATAAGGAAAAAAGAGAATTCTCTTTTTTAATAACACTGAAGCTCCATTCCACAATTGAAAAGCAACCTTTGCTGAAAATTCTTGCTCCTCCGTAAATCATACCAAAGATAGCATTGTTTTCATGTATGGAAAATTTCTGCTTTCTCAGTTGTACCTTAATATTAGATTTGTCCATAGTACATAGAACATGTAAATAACATTGTATTTGTTTTGTCATTAAAAATGTTGTTTTAACATAACTGTCAGCTATGACTTTTATTCATTGCAGTGGGAGCTAAGAATCAATCCAATTATAGTAACCTATCTTTGTTCCAACACTGCAAAAAGAAACATACATGACTTATGCTTAGTTTATTTGCACCAGCATTTAATACTTCTGTCGCTATATACTCCATTGACCAAATAAATCCATTATCTTGCGTATCTCAACCTTCTACAGCATTAAAAAATCTCTGGGATTGACTTTAAGAGGAATCAAGGAAACACAATTTTGGCTTCACTAAGTATCACAATAGCATTCAATTAATTTTGTTTATTTGGAGGAAATGAGCACAAAACTTTACATAATAGTTTAAAATTACATCTTATCCTATAGACAGAACTTTTTCCATTGTTTACAAAGGACAAAGAACTTCCTATTGAGAAAATTTGAATCTACAAACTGCATAGAATTTTATTCTTTCACTAGCATCACACCTGTAATGTAATTCCTACAATTTTACTGAAGTCACTATTATTCAAATGTTATGAAAATTATACAACTGAGGGATAAACAATTTTGTATATAAAACCATTTAATGTCATATCTCCTGCAAATATTTTAAGAAGTAGCCAGGAGATTCATGTACTTCACATCATAAACCTTAAATAGAATCAACTTTACAAAATTGCAGAGTATCTTTTGATCAAACACAAGGTATCTGAAGATCTGAAAAACCATGCTTCCAAAAATCTCTAATAACTGAGGCGAATTCTGGCACTGAACTTTTCAGAGAGGGAGAAGAGATTCAGTTCGACTAATGTCATAAAATAAATTACATTCACTAGAAGATAATTATCAGCTCTCTTTTTTTTTTTTTGTAAAAAGCAAAGTCGGCCTGCATTTACAATAAAAATGCTATGTCTGAAACAAAGCAGCTTTTTACGTGAGAAAGCACAGGATCAACTATTCTGTTTCATTTTATTTAAAACCTGATATTGCTGCTACTGTCTAAGATAATAAATAAATTGACAGAGCAAGCAATGCTCTCAGTCTGCTACTTTTATGCCTTACGCTTATTTAATTCTCTAGTTTTTTAGGATCACCATGTAGCTTGACCAGGACAAGGGCCTACTCATTTTTATAACACACCAGATTTCTAAATGTGATTGAATACCCAGAAATCTGCTAAAGTACAAAGTGAAAATTATACACAAAAGGGAGCCTCTACTTCCCTGCCCCTCCTAATCACATTTTTCTTTGTTTGTACAGTATCAGTACATGCTAGAGAAATTCTATTTCAACTTAAACATACATTTTTAATGTCTATTTAAAATAAAACATAATTTAGAAATGTCTACCTCATCTTTAAGGAAAGTATGCAAAGCAGACAAAGCCTAATTATGAAATATACTATTCCAAATATAACTGAAAATATTGGACAAATAACACAAAGCTAGAGAGATCTTATGGCTTGCTTTGCCCAGTCACATCAATCAAGAAAAAAAGAGAGGAAACAAGTTTAGAGGTCCTGCCAGGAGCCTGCTCCAGGCCAGACTTTCCATGGGGTCCCAACCTCCTCTGGGCACATCCACCTCCATGGGCTGCAGGTGCATATCCTGCTCCACCATCTACTTTCACGGGCTTCAGGGGGACAGCCTGCAGGGGACTCTATGCTCCTGGACCTGGAATACCTCCACCACCTCCTTCTCCACTGGCCTTGGCATCTGCAGAGCTGTTTTTCTCACACATTCTTACTCCTCTCTCCAGCTGCAGTTTAACAGACTTTGCTCCCCTTTTAAATACACCATCTCAGAGGTGCTGCCACCACCCCTGATAGGCTGGGTCTTGGCCAGTGATGGGTATGCCTTGGAGCCGTCTGGCAATGGCTCTGTTGGACATGGGGAAAGCTTCTGGCAGCCTCTCAGAAAAGGCACCCCTGCAGCCCCCTGCTACCAAAACCCAGCCAAGCAATACTCAAAACATCCTCTTACAGAACTTGACCTAAAAAACATACTAGTATCCCATTTTCTAGTCTATAAACATTACTTGGTCTGGAAAGTCAAATATTATTTGAAATTGTTTTTTATAGTTTAAAGCCATTCTTAAACAAAGCTAGGATTTTGCAAACATTGATATGCTTTAAATTATTTGGTGGACTTTATGAAGCCACTGATTAAATTAACATCATGCCTGCTGCTTCTCCTATATTTCAGCAATGTAACTTTTCTTTTACTGGTTCTTTTTACAGCCCCCCTCTTCTTTCTATAAACTATCTTGCCACTGCACTGACTTACTAGTTACTCTTTCTCTACATGTACATTACTTGATAGAAAGTAACTACTCCAAATACTTGTATCAAACTTGTGCCAAACCAAAGACCATCTAAAAATATGGCATCCAAAGATCATCGCTGTAACTTGACTTCACACTCGTGATATGTGATTAACTCCTTTTGACAGTTCATTAACAGCACGAGCAATCTCTTAAGTGTCCATTTAGTGATTCTAAATATTTCAGAGTCAAATTTACTACAAACACTTATCAAATATTGTCCTCTTCATGTCATCAGAAAGAAGTATTCAGTATGAAAAAACAATTACATCATTTTGACTGATGGGTTGGGGGTTTTTTGGACTCGATATGAACTTTTACTCCAACAGCACCAAAATTCCTCCCGAGCTCAGTAAGATCTGAAATCCTTCATTGAAAACAATAACTTGACAGGGGACAACTTCTATAAATAAACAACAACCATAAAAAAAAAACACAAAAGAAATCCCACTATGTAAACATCATGCTTCTTAATATTCTTCCATTAAAAGTCTGTGTTCATATAAAGGATTTGTTGTTTAGCCAAGCTTACTGTGGCACTATGATTCTCTTCAAATAATCTTCTCTCAAGATTACTGAAACACGCTAGGCTTGGCTCCCCTCCATAAAATAAGCTTAATAACCTCAAACACAGAACAAATAAAGGACAAGGATACATTTCATTGGTAAAAAAGTACTCTCTATCCCTTTAATTTGGTCATGTCTGCAACACCAAATGAAGCAGAGCAATGGTTGCCTGTCTTGAGAGTGTAAGACTTCACAACGAAGATTCAGTATCCCTGCTGAACATGTTTAAAATGCTTTTTGACTCTGTTCTTTTCTGAAAATTCAAGTTTTAATCATGATCTCATATTCAAACAGTTCCCTATAGGCCAATGTACTTTGTCATTGAAAATTTATCAAATCAGACCAGTATCAAGAATGCAACACATCCCTCAACATTCTGAGTATATGACAATAAATTAGAGGTTTTCAAATCTTTAAGACTATTCTAATTAATTTTAACAGATGAACTCAGGATTGACTTCAAATAAAAGATAAAGTGATTATATAACTGCTATGAAACACTACATCATTTACATAAAAACACTAGCTATATTTTGTTCACATATAGAAAAAAATATTTGTTAGAAATGCTAAAAAAGAAATGCCATTGGCTAAATATAGATTTTTCCTTTTCCAAATGGCCAAGAACTAAAAGAGAAATTGGAAAAGATATTGTCTAGATAATGATTTACCTAAATAGAATTACTGAAATCCAGCTCCACTTTCTGTTATGCAGCTAAACGGCCTGCAGGTATAATATCTTCAGCTGGCACCAGGCTTAATGCTTTTTTATTGATCTGCCCATGGCTTAAGTGCACACATAGGATATGGATTGTTAAACAACTCTTGTTACCTATCACTGATTATGGAAATATAATACATCTTGCAGCAGCATCTGCACTTTCTCTAACATGAAATGCTACTTAAAGCAAACTATCCATTTTATCCTGTGAACTCTGTAACTTGCGGGGATTTTTGTGTACTAGCTAAATGGCTGAATTTGTTAAGTACCAATTACACAAAAAGCCCTCTCTGTTACAGCCCATGGTGTAAGTGATAATTAGATTCTTTGTACTTGATTTGCTACAAATGCAATGTATAATTATAATTGAGAGCAATAAGTACTTTCAGATTCTATTTCTTCTCTTCCCCAATTGATCCTTACCTCTTTCTCCTTTAAAGATTTCCACAAATCTGTGGGATTTGCTCCAGTCAGTCTTTACAAAGGGTTTGGGACAGCTATTAATACTGCATGCTGAGAGTTTCCTATTTGGTGCTCAGTAGTAATTGATAGGAATAAATCAATCCAACGTTTATATTTTCTTTATACTTTTGTTTCTGTACTTGTCACAAAGAGTATAGCATGTCCATCATAGAGTTAAATTTACAAGGAAAAATGAGGCTTCTGTAGTCCTCTAGTCTTTCTTCCCACAACGGAATTCCATAGTTAAGTTTTCCCTTCCACTTACATCAAATCTGCAATAAGCTAGAAAACATATTCTGTACATTCCTTTTGTCCAAATACTGAAAAAAGACACACCTGATGTAAATTCAGACTCTGAAGGTATAGGAAACGGAAAGATAGAAACTTCCACAGATACCAAAGGGTTTGATGTGCAGCCTTGGAAGAGGCTTGGATTAATGTAAAAATAAAAGTACATAGACATTAAGCAGAAAAATTATAAACTTATATTTCTATAGTTGTAAGTAAGAATACGCCGTAAGGAAGAAACTGTATTGGGTAAGATGGCAAAGGGTTTTATAGTGTAGTAATGTAATTGTATAGAATAAGAGTTTAGATGTTGTAATAGAAGCATATGTGTGTACATGTATTAAGAGCCCATTGGATAAAAGTATACATAGTGCAGCAGAATCAAGTAAAGGTGATAGGTTAGAAAAACAAAATAAAGTTCATAGCAACTTTCCATTGGATTAGAATGCTATATATTGCCTTGTAACAAAGAAACTTGTGACTACTTTGAGCTATGGCTGACTTTTTTTCCCTCTAATATCACACTGCCTGTGAAGCTGATTTATATCTGAGTAATAAATAGTTTTTAGCACAACAGTAGTCCCATCCTTTCATTTAAGTGATGATAATATGAAGGTACTTTTAAAAGAAGTCTCCTTCAGGGTTGGCTCTCATGCATTCTGCTAAGTCAGGTTACCAACCACTACATGAATGTTAGTAGAACAGTAACAGAACTGTTAAGTAAACAGGAAAAATCCTGACTAAATTAATTCAATATGGCAGACCACCCAGTGACTTCAATGGGGCCAGGATTTCATCCTTATCTTGTAGATCAAAGCAATTATTTCACTGTTCAGAAGGACCAGACTGCTGCACCTGCCAAGAATTTCTTAAAGCAGCCTACCATGGCGAGTCTTAATTGTATATACCTCTATAACTATTCCTTTTTCATTCTGCTAAGATGAAATATTGAATTGACAAAAATATAACATCATAAATAGCATCCACAACAAACATCTTTCCTTCATATTAGTAAACGTGAAAGACAGAACAAAGCTCTCCTTAGCATAACCTTACCACAGGTCTACAAATTAATTATGATCCCTTAACACCTATTCCCAACCACTGATGGTCATGCCTGCTGAAGTGGCATTTCTGCATTAAATGATAATGATTTGACCCAACAAATCGAGTGCTTTCTTGGTTAGGCAATGTTGTGTTACCAAAAAAGCTTCCTATTTTACAGTGCATATCAAAGTACACACTGGAAAGAATATCTCCTACATACCATGGACCCAAATTCAGAGTAGATTAACTGTGAGTAGTATAACTGAACACCTCTTTATTCCTTCACAGGGCTTACAATATACACTGTAGCAACACTAAACAAAATGATGTCATGTATATGCAATTCAATAGCCAGAGAGAATCAACTTATCCACATGAGAAGCAATTTCACACTAAGCTAGAAGAAAACTGGTTTTAATGTGCTGCAAAAATTACCAAAAACAAGGCTCTCTTTGACATAGACACCAGTATTTTTTTATTTGGAAATACTTGAGAAATCTGTTGTAGAATTGTACAACAAGCATTTTTCCCTTGATAACTAATTAAATGAAGTAACGAAGCACAACTGCTTCGTATTTTCTCCTCAGACTGTGAAATTAATGCAAAGTATTAATGTTGCCAACACAGTTCCTTTGTAGGAAAACATGGCAGTTGTTTACTGCCAACGGCATCATAAGAACTTGTCTTACTTTCAGAAGGAGTTATAATCACAGGAGCATAAGAAAATCCTGTCTGTAACACGTTATATGACCCTGGCTGGATCTTAACATCTTTAACTACTTCATCCTATCTCACTGGATTCTATTTTACATTACTCCACAGAATCTCCTCCATCTCAACAACTTTCTAGCAAAATGTAACCAGATCCAGGATACCTAACATAATTTATTGCACTAACTTTAATCTCCTGTGTAACTTCTGTCGCATTGGTCCATGCTTTATTAATTCAAATGAGAATTTCAGTTCATAACTTCATTTAAGCATCTCTGAACAACAACCTAATACCCCTAATGACTACTTCAGTTACAAGAAACCTGCTCCATTTTACAGAGAATAAACCCAACAAAAATCTATATAAATAGGTATGAATTAAAGATTGGAAAGTCTGATCATTCAGCAAGGTTTTACCCTGAAATGTCCTCCACAAATTCCTATATGTAATTCAAGCATCCATTTATTTCTAAGCTAGTTTCAAGAATGGGCTAGAAGAAAGACATGTTTATCAATATTCTGATACAGTTTTAAGATAATTACAAAAGATTTCTCAGTGCAGCTGTAAAATTTAATATAGTTCAGCACTGCATAACTTACATTAAAAAGATAGTGCAGCTAGAGGTAATAAATATTATGAACAATTTCTGTTCACCCATCCATTTGAGTTGAGACATCCATCATCCATACACATCAGACCTTCTCTTTGATCTCTAATGGTAAATTTAAGGGCTGAGTAAATGTTCTTTGAAACACAGTGTGGTACAGCCGTTTATTGTTATATAGAAGACAGTAAGTCATTAAAATTGAAACTCATTTAAAACAGTGGAACATCCCCCTAATCATGTCCCAACTTTGAAGTAATATCCTTTTTGGTGATATCACTAATTTACAGTTAACTAGTTTTCTTAAAGTAAAATAAATCAAGCTCTGGCTAGAGTCAGAATTTATAAAGTACATCTTTCATCAAAAGGCAGAGAGCTCCTGGTAATGCATTCTGCTGTGGTATTTGCACTTATAACACACAGCAAATACCCACAGCCTACCATGATGGTCACATGAAACTCACCAAGCCTGCAGTTTTTACCAGTTTGCTGTACGTTTTCACAATCCTAAAAAAAGTACTTCAGCATTATACAGATAACTACACATTACTTTTTTATTAGTTATTTAGCAATATTCTAATTAGCAGAGGGTGAGCTAAATCTATGCCTCAAAAGAAATCAAAAGAAAACCTTAAGGATTCAAGTCTATTAACTCATTGCTTTTGCATGCCCTGTTATCATCAGTCTTCGTGTTTCAGCCAGAACTTTATGACATTTTCCAGCTCAGATACCAGATCAAAGTTTTAGGGGTGGAAGAGTCTGAATAAACACAGGGGCAAAGGAAACATTAATTTATGGACCTTCACTTACCCTGTGAACATTAGCTGAACCACTGATACCAGGATCATGAGAAGACTTAACAGCTGACTGCTCACAAAAAAAGTGCAACAGTCATAAACATGCTCTCATTAAAAAAAAAAAAAAAAAAAAAAAAACCACAGAAAAAAAACCCCCTGCAAGTTTAATACTGATGATACACAGCTTTGTAACAATGTCAGGCATTCATATTCAGGAAGATGTTGCCCTTATTCTCCCTAAGAAAAATCCATCATGACCAGGGGATGCAATTCACAATGTGGCTACCGAGGAACATTACTACAGTCAAGTTGGTACCCAATCTATGCTAGAGGTGATCACTCAAAAAGACAAAAAAATAAAAATGAAATGGTGAGAGATTCTATACCTCACTGACTGCCATCCACAACCCAAGATGCTACCTTAAAATGGCACTATTTTAATCTTGGACTGATATGCAAGTGTATGAGTGACACTTGCCAAGGCACTGGCTGTGTCTCATGCTCTCTAAAACCCAGCATGTCCAAACATATCTAACTCCAGTTCTGGGATCCAACCACCCAGAAGCAGTGAAAACCACCCTACATCACCAGATGGACCTGGCTGGGTAACATGTTCCCTGAAGTTCAAGAGCTCTCTATCAAATTAGTGCAGTTAACCTCAGGGAATAATTCTTTAATTGCAGTGTAGTTTTCAACTGCAGAAAAGACAAAAACAAAACAAAGAAAAAAACCCCCAGAAAATATTTATTAGTACAGACATACCCAGCTCTCTGAAACTCTTAACCCAAGAAAATTTTAGCTCAAGTTATATTAAAACTGCAGTTTAAAGCTTTGTTATCATATGCATTTTTACTCTAGTACAGAGTTTGTCATGCCTAAACTAAGACCCAGGGCAGTTACAGCTTCAAATGTTAAAGCTACGCTTTCACCCAAAATTAAAAGACCTTTAAAACTATTTTTTTTGTTTCATAAAAGCACTGGGAACTTTCCTGTATGCAACTCAAAACCAGTTGTACTCTGCAAGCAAAAACTTTCCAAGTGCCTGTCTCTCTGCAGATTTTTGGCAAATCTCTTTGAAAAACTGAAAAGTGGGGGCCTGAGCCAAAGCTTACTGAAGTTTATGGAAAAACTCCCACAGATTTCATCAGGATTTGGAATAGGCTCTGAAAGTCTGAAGTAATTGAAAAATCAGTTCTGCATGTACAAAATATGAAATTTTCACTAGGTTTAGATTTATTTGACTCCTTTATGGTAATGTGGAAGAGCAAATACACTGTAAATGGTGTTAGTGATGTACATATAGTTTTACACTGTTAATTCACCACAGAGTTCCATAGATTTGTATCTGTTACTTACACTACCTACATAATAGCAATTATTAAATCAATCCCACATACACAAACATCTTCATTTTAAAGTGGCCTGAATATTAAGAAAAAAATAACATTAACACCTTTATTGTTCAAGTGGGTTTTAAATTATTTTTTTTAACTGAAGACCAAACATTCATTTAATTTTTTTAACTGAAGAGTAAAAAGACCTTTAAAAGCTGTAAGACAAATTCAGAGATAACACAGGCAAAAAAATAATTATGCAAGTGACTATCTCATTCTGGGCATACTTGCTAAGGACAATTTATAAATATGTAACACTAGCAATTTTAGCTAAGGTGCACCTAATTTATGGCAGTATAAGAGAATCAGGTTTAGTCAACCTAAATGGGCCAGAAAACCAAGAAGAATAGCAAATACAAAATAAATGGATTATGGTATTATTATCTCCTGATGTGTAAAGAGTTGCATCTCTGCTGACTGAAGGATGTTACTTCCAGACAGAAGAAAATGAGTAAGTCATTATACTTGACATATCTTGCTTTATTCATCTGTATCATCTCTCTGTTTATAACTATTTGGAGATGGATAATTTGCCATGATTGTACTTAAGAGAAGTAGACAATCTCTGTAATTTTTTTGTGGTCTTGTCCAGATAGGGATTGAAAAGAAAAAGTAATGTCATGGAAACTGCAGAGCTAATATGGTCTTCAAACGCCTACAGCTCATGTACAAATACCAGTGCACTTCATCGTATAAGCTGTTCTTCAAATATCACAGGAAACAAAAGCTTAGAGGAACCAAGAAATCCGGTAAGTGGAAATCCAAAGACTAACTAGACATGCAAGACTGAATCTTCATTAGTACCATACCTTAAATAAAATTATTATGCTACATTATTAAATCTCAGCCTTATTTTTTGTTTAATGGAATAATTTTTGCAACCTCTTAAAATAACTATCCAGGTTTTAGCTTTACTTTTTTTACCTGCTACTACTGAATCTTCTGAAATGGAAGGTCAGAGACTGTATGCTTTCTCCATTAGCAATAGTTTTTCCATAGTTTTGAATATTTAACTTATTAATGCAGATTTTAGAAGTTTATTTTTGCTTGTGGTCTCTAAAGGTTTCAAACAATGTAGACAAAGTCCAGTGACAAGCAGGATCATTAGAGGAAATTTTTTCAACTGACAATTATTTTCACCAAAAGCTTACCTCAACATTATGAATCATTTGTGACCACTTATACTTAAGTAGGACATATTAAAATTTAATGGATTTCAACACAAAGAGCCAGCAATAGAATCACACACACCAAGGCACTAATGTGTTGATCCCAACTGTACTTAGTTGAGGCAAGTTAGAATTGCAATGCTGCCAACTAAATGTCACAGTACCACAAATGAATGAATCCCAAATCTTCAGAGGGATTTCTTTATTATTCATTATGCATGACATTTTCCTCTTTAAATTATTCATTTTTTAAAAATACTATTGCTTTAGCCTTCTTAACCTTTGTACTCCTTTCCCCTGTGGATTTTGCCAGCTGTCATATCAATTGAGGAGGGGAGATGTCCTAAACAACATAATAAAAATCTTTTCACAACCCTACCAAAAAGTATGTCCTGTTAGTCTTCCATCTTATTTTTCCCCTTTTCACAACACTGGAATTTGGAATGGCCTAGGAAAAAGAAGCATCTATTTTCTATCAGTACTTTCATTTCAATTACAAAAAAAAAATTCCAATGCTTTACCATTATTTATATAATACCTGAAAATTAACCAGTTGAAGAAACATCATTTGAGTCCTGCAGGGTGATGAAAGTTAA